AATTTAGGTGAATATACACATAACTACATAGAATTTGATATATCTGTAGAATTCTCTAGTCAGCATTTTTGTATATGTAACATAAATAAAAAGGATTTTTTTAAACCATATAGTAATTCTGGGATTCCCTGAATTTTCACCTGCTGCATTTTCTACTCTATATCTGGCAGGTTCTTCTTCCTTTCAGTTTGTGCATTTCCTGTATTCTAAAAAGTAAATAGAAACAGGACCTTAATTGAGGAAACGGTGAGTCTTTGGCTAAGGAAATACAGCCAGAGATAAATACTTGTACTTTGCCCCTCTTTTATAAGGTACAGGGAGACTATTTACCAGAGTATTCCTCTTTATCATCATCAAACAGAACTAAAGGTGGCCTTTATGGGCACTCCTCTTTGGCCTAAATCACTCGTTGACAGTAATTTAGGGTTTCTCTCTGGTCGTACAGCCTAGTCAATGCGTGTATGCATAATTTCAATATCCTTTTAAGACGCCTGAAAGAATTTAATGTAAAATTGGGAAGTGCTTCGATCCGATTAGATAATTCAAAAAACAAGTGAATGCCAGAGCCAACAACAGAATAAGTGCCTATTCTCTCTCTTACGTTTTTTAAAACATATCATATTCTCTTATGCTCTAAAACAAACTACAGACTGAAAATTCAAGAAATTTTCTTAATTCTGACATTAATTTATTAAAAGCGTTTAGACTAGTCTCACAATTTCAGTCACTTGTCAGAACTGCATTTGAATGAGCAGTACAAATAAGGTATAACCAACACTGTCAACTTCTGGTTATTTCTAATAACTACAACTTGTTTCAAGGTCACTCTTATAAAATGGTCATCTTGTCAGGAGTTCATCATATGAGCAAGTAGAGGTTTTTCCTTCTTATTATTTACTTATCCTAAAAATGACAGAACTGTCTTAAGAATTCCTTTTTCCTTGCACTGGAATGGGATTTTAGTTCCTGGGGGCTCTTCTCATAGGACAATGGGATAAACACATGCGGCACATTTCTAGACTGCCCGAGCTCAGGAGACCTAATTCACCCAATCGTTCAAAAAATGTGCAAATGGTGTGCTGTGCAACATGCTGTAGCATGAGTAAGTCACTCAAATTTAAAAGTTTAAAGCTACCCTATTGCTTTTTACAACGAACTAAAAGATGTCCGTTAATGGCTTTCTTGTTCTACAATATCTCTTTTCTGCAAAGTGGACTGCAGAGTTCTTAAGTTCTAGGCCAAGACTAAGGCACAGCCCTAAATGTCACAGTGATAATACATCTAATAGTGTCTGATAACCCTCTTATCCAAATGTTGTAGAGATTGAGTAGCCTTGTTAAAATGCCTTCTGCATAGTTTCAGACCAGCTTCTCTATATTTTTAATTCTTCATATTTCCTTAATAAGTATATGCTGATTTTTATCCTGAATTAAAGTATAATCAATTTTATTTTTTAAAAAGCAGAGATAATGAAGTTGGTAAACCACTTGCAGAGATGACCTCGTAAGTATAGAATAGGAGGCCATCTATATGATTTAATTCAGTGTGTGCTCAGCACAATCTCTTTCCCCTAAGAGTACCTTTAGACAGTTTTCATTTGGAAGTTAAAGGCTTCATGATTTCCAAATAAAATTCAAGAATCTCTCTGGTAGGTAGGGGCTGGGGACATTTCAACAAGATTACCTCATAGATAGCTGACAGTAAATATTTGTGAAAATAGGACAGTAGATAGACAGCAGAGATAGATAGGGAAATAAATTGGAGGTAAAACAAGAAGGAAGGAAGAGGCTAAAGACATATGTGCTCATGGCCGTATACCACATGTTTATACTATTATTCATTTTCACCGGCATGGCTTACCTGCCCAGCGTTTGGCAATACACATAACACAGATACTATTTTCCCTGGGTACTGGGCATTTTAATCATTCAACATTCAAATGAGGGATGGTATTTACTACTCCCAAAGAAATGATTGCTAGAAACTTTTAGTAGTTGGTTATCTAGGAAAATATAGATGTTTCTAGAGTTTGAAGATTATAGAATTTTGAATTTTTATATAGATTTCCAATAGCAATAGTTAAATTCACACACTGAGTCAAGGGCTCTAAACAACATTCTTTAGTAAAAGCTATCGACTAAAAAAGTTTTACCTCGTTTCTCTTGATTTTGATCCACATTAAGTAAAGTTGGTATTTTAGATGAATCTGTTTTCTTTGAATCCCTCTTCAGCACTTTTCTCTGTTTAACTTTTACAAAATTATATAAAACAATGAAAATTTGTTATTCCTACCTTGAAATATTTTACTTTCCTTTTTAAGAACTTCAACTGGAAATTCTGATGTCTGCTAACATCAGTTTCTCAATTTATTACAAAGGAACTGAATAAACCATGAGTTGTAATGGTAAAATACAGGAAATTATTTGTTTTATAACTTTACAAATAATAAACCAAGTTAAAAGAAGACAATTATTTTATTTTATTATTCTCAGTATAACTGTTAGTGAATCAGATAATTTCTCTTGAGCTGTGTATTATATTCTTGCTATTATATTAACTTTTCACAAGGTGTCACTATTCTTCAAAGAAACATAAGAACATTTATTCAAGACAAAAATGAGTTTTGTTCTTAAATAAATCTTAAATTTAAGACTAAGATAAATCTTAAATTTATAAATCTTACCTACTAAATCCTTGAATGGCCAAAGCATATATAAAATTCCTGCTACTATATGAGCAGACAATCATGGAGAAAAATAGGAATGTTATTTATTCCAGGTCATATACTGAACCAAAACTATCTTCCTCAAATATTGTTCTAACATTTCAACAATATTGAGCTAATGAAAAATCTACCCTTTGAAGCTGTCTTAACCCCTCTTTAAAATTATCTCCTTTAAGTCTTACCCCTTATTTGATGATGGGGAAAAATTATCTCATCAGCTGAAAATGTTTTTCTTACCAATTTACTGTTTTAGAATGTAAGTTATATTATAGAGAAGTCTTGTAAATGATATTGTCTGGAGATTCATAAAGCTATGCAACAAACGTATACCTTCCATTCCTTTTACATCCTTCGATTGTACTGTGAAAGGCAATTCTGGAAAATGGAATTCTTTCCTGTCAGATCTGGAAAAATTCAGCTTCCTTTTGTTCCCATTTGCCATTTGGTCACTTTGACCTGTTCGCTCATTAAATACGCCCCTCTCCATTTGGCTCTAAACAAACAAACAAGAGTTTATTTGAAGAAATATGTGTAACTATTTGTAGAATGACAAACCTAGAATTGCCAGCCCTTCGGATGGCATAAAATAGGCATAACAACTATTTTAATACTTAAGAAGTAGAATACCATTAAACATACCAACAGATCAAACTCCAATAAAAGTTTCAGAAAGCAAACTTTTTTTTAGCATATTTAATTTTCTTAGAATAGTCTTGATGAGAACCACAAT